GGGGCCCCCCCTTTGGGCCGGGCCCTGTAAAGGGAGGATGGTACCCGCTTCCCCAATTTAAAAAAAAAAATTTTATTAGCTTCAGTTATGAATGAACACAGTCAGTGATCAATACCGATCCCCATTGTATACATTCAGGAATGAAAGGGGCTGGTGAATGTGACATAGTTACCAGGACCAATCACTGGAACTGATCCCCTAGTTGGCTCACTCTCTGCAGCAGCTGAACGCCACGCCAGACGATAGAGGAGAAGAAGCCAGTACTCTCAGCTGCTTGCAGAGGAGAGCCGATACAGGGGATCGTTCCAGCTAATTGTTTCCCTACTCTGCCTGATCACGCCTCCGTGCCCTCATTCCGATTCTGTCACCCTGAACTGCCTGGGGACCACGTATAATGAGGGACTGGTGGTACCCCCTTATTCCACGGTTCGGGTTGGCAGTGAAAAGGGTTTCGATTACCTTCTTGGGAGATTACCTTTAAGGTGTACACAGTATTAAGGAACAGTACAATTTTCAGTGCTGATGGTCCCTGCTCTCTCAGTGCCGCTTCTCTGAATTTCACAGGAAAGAGTTAACATTGGATAGCACAGTGTGGGTTCAGTCTATAAGCTCGGAGGAGGGAGCGGGGAGCAAGGAGGGAGGAGCAGGGGAGTGCCTTGCCATCCTATGCTAATGGGGCGGTGGTGTGTTTCTATTGATGCACACAGTGTAGGGAAGATAAACAACTCTAGTCCCTGGCATCAAGGGTGGACTCCCCTAGGGTGTTGCAAGAGAAAGGAGCCGTTCACTGAAACAGGAAAACCTGAGGCAGTGGTTATGGCACTAACTTAAACTGGAACAAGAACTAAAGATAGAAAAACAGCTGCCTGGTCAGTAAGTGATTAAATCAGCCGCTAAAAGTGATTAAAAACGTGAGGGTGTAATATCACCTTAAATACAGCAGCCCGCACCTCGATTCATTACAGCTGGGAAAAAAGGTTTTTATAGGCAGTTTTGGCCGGGACACCTCATTTCTTTTATCCAACAGTAACAGGTCTTGATCCCAGTGGGAAGTCTCACCTAAATCACATCTAACAGCTATAGGAAACAAAAAGTAAAGCTAAAGCCCTCCACTTTGTACACACTGGCCAGTAGTACAACACTGCACTTAAAAAGCTTAATAAATGTTAACCCTTCCCCCTTCTGAGGATTTACCCCCCTTTATGACCCATAGCCTCTTTTTGCTACTCGGCGCTGCACTAATTCAACTGATAATTGCGCGCGGTCATGCAACGCTGAACCCAAACGAAATTTACGTCCTTTTTTTTCACACAAATAGAGCTTTCTTTCGGCGGTATTTGATCACACCTGTGCGCTTTTTATTTTTCACAGCTATAAACAAAAAAAGGCTAAAAAAATTTTGAAGAAAAACAATATTTTTTTTACTTTCAGCTATAAAAAATATATAGTATAACTCAAAGTTGGTTATGAAATTTAGGCCAAAATGTATTCTGCTCCATGTTTTTGGTAAAAAAAATCCCCGTAAGTGTATATTGATTGCTTTGTGTGAAGTTATATAGCGTCTACAAACTATGGGATAGATACTGCAATTTACGCCATTTTTCTGCTATACAGCGCTGCGCTAGTTTAACGGACAATTGCGCGGTCATGCAAATACGGTACACTAAATGAAATTTACATCCTTTTTTCCCACAAATTGAGCTTTCTTTCGGTGGTATTTGATCGCCTGTGCGGTTTTTTTTTTTTGCGCTATAAAAAAAAACAATTTTGAGGAAAAAAAAACAATATTTTGGACTTTTTGCTATAAAACAATGTCGCAGTAAAAAAAAAAATGCAAAAAATCAAATTTAGTCATAAATTTCTGCCAAAATGTATTCTGCGACATGTCTTTGCTAAAAAAAAAATCCCAATACGTGTAAATTAATTGGTTTACGTGAAAGTTATAGCGCGTTTACAAATGGGCGGGAAAGATACTGGGATTTTTAGGGTTTTTTTTTATACTAATAATGGCGGCGATCAGCGAATTATGGCGGGGACTGCGGCGGACATTCTGACATTGGGGGGTACTGACTTGGGGTCACTGATATCCCCAAAAAACACTAATACAGTGATCAGTGCAAAAAAAAAAAAAACACTGACGACACTGTACTAATGGCACTGGGGAGGAAGGGGTTAACTTTATTTTGCAGGGGAAGGGTTATAGGAGTGAGGGGGAGTGTTTTACTAGGGGGCGGGGTGCGGGGGCGTGTGCTGGACGGGACAAGGCTGATCAAGAAAGAGAAAACTGTTCTTTCTCGATCAGCACATCCTCGAGCTGACAGGGAAGTGACAGACAGCACAGCTACTGCAGCCCTGCTCTCTGTCACTGTTTGCCGCCGATCGCCGGGAGATAGCCGCTAAGGAGCGGCTGTGACCCGGCGACTGACATCTGCTGCGGTGATCCGCGGGACAGATAGGGCGGCGGCGCGCATCGCGCGCCCCCTATTTGTTTACAAAACACACATTTTAAAACGTGGTTTTTGCCTGCGAGTGCCGCCCCTGCCGCCGTATATGTACAGTGGCTGGGCGGCATGTAGTTAAAACAAAGTGCACAAAAACACTTCAAAACCACAACCCCACATTCCCTGCACCCCGTAGGACAGAGCCCAAGCACTAGAAAAGGCCTCTGAGGGCTCCACAGAATATTTGTATTTATACTGAGATCACATGACACACGGGGGGGCTCTATTTACTAATTAGGTGACTTCTGAAGGCAATTGGTTCCACTGGATTTTAGTTAGGGGTATCAGAGTAAAGGGGGCTGCTGAATACAAATGCCGCCACACTTTTCACAGATTTATTGGTCACAAATGTTGGAAACCATTTCTCACTTTCCATCCACTTCACAATTATGTGCCACTTTGTGTTGGTCTATCACATCCAATCCCAATAGATACATTTATATTTTGGTTGTAACATGACAACATGGGGGAATATTTGAAGGGGTGTGAAGACTTTTTCAAGGCAATGTACGCAGCAGGGGCGGGACTGACAATTCATGGGGCCCCTGGGCAATAGGAGATCAAACCACACCCAAAAAAGCCTATGAAAGGTACCAGAGGTATCTCATGGGGCCCCCTACTGACTCCGGGCCCTCGGACAGTGCCCGATGCTTGAATGGTCAGTCCCACCCCTGGTACGCAGGATCCAGCACCGAATGGTCGCATTACAGGCCAAAAACAATGTGTCTTACCCTCTTCATTTACACTAGGGTCCAGGACAGGGGCGGACTGACCATTTGGAAACTCGGGCACTGCCAGAGGGCCCGGAGTCAGTAGGGGGCCCCATGAGATGCCCCTGGTACCTTTTTCATAGGCTTTTTTGAGTTTGGGCAAGGACACAGGACTCCATGATCCCCTATTGCCCGGGGGCCCCATGAGTTGTCAGTCCGCCCCTGGTCCAGGTACTGTTCTCTTAAGCAATACCCCTGTAGGAATGGATCTAGATGACACCAATCTCCTCATCCCTGCTGGGGAACCCCCGAGATTCCTGGTAGCATTGTGCTGAGAGCTGCACAGCAGCAACCATCGCCTTCAGACACCGGCGAAAAAAAAACTGAGGTAATCAAAAACTGTATGTTTACACCCCTGAAAAAAACGGCTCTAGCAAGACAAAATTATATATACCTGCCTAAAAAATAAAACCTTGATATATTCAGCACGGTATCCCCGCCATCCTCTGATCACACCGTATGCTGACATCATCACCTCTGCATGGAGGACTGCCGGGAGAATATCCAAAGAGGAATAGCATCATGTGCATCAGTCTTCTACAGGTGTACCGACTCCTCCCCTTCAGTCTTCCACAGGTGTACCGGCTCCTCCCCTTCAGTCTTCTACAGGTGTACCGACTCCTCCCCTTCAGTCTTCCACAGGTGTACACCGGCTCCTCCCCTTCAGTCTTGCACAGGTGTACTGACTCCTCCCCTTCAGTCTTGCACAGGTGTTGTACTGACTCCTCCCCTTCAGTCTTGCACAGGTGTACCGGCTCCTCCCCTTCAGTCTTGCACAGGTGTACCAGCTCCTCCCCTTCAGTCTTGCACAGGTGTTCCAGCTCCTCCCCTCCAGTCTTCCACAGCATGCGCTGACCCCGCCCTGTCATGTGACGTGGCCTAACACTTGGTGGCTGAGTTGCTTTTGTTCCCAGTTGCTTCCACTTTGTTATAAAAGGGGAAAGGGAGAGAGAGGGAAAGAGAGAGGGAGAGAATAGGAGAGAGAGAGAACAGAGAACAGGAAGAGAGGGGGGAAGACAGACAATAGGAGAGGAAGAGAGAGTTGAATGATGTCACTGGGGGGGGGAGGAAATAAAAGGTTGTAGTAGATTCCTGCGGGCGTTTCTACATTTACCCCGAGCTCTGCTGACAAGTATTCAGAATAATCAGAGAGGCGTGTCTAGATGTGGACGGCTTCTCCAAAATCTTGTGAATTAGAGGGGGCTCTATATGTTAAGACAGATCTGAAATACCTTCACATATGTTGGCATGCGGTGGGAAGCGGCCGGGGTGGTGGTGGGGGGCCCCAGGTCAACTTTTTGCATTGGGGCCTACAAGCTTCCAGTTACACCTGTGTGAATAGCCAGGCTCTGCTTGTGTCTGGTGCACTGCTCGTGTTGCTACTCTGCTCATGTCATGTCTGGCGCTCTGCGGGTGGCTCGCACTTTTCTTGTGTCTCTGGCTCTGCTCGTGTCTCGTGCTCTGCTCATGTCCTGCTTGTGTCTGGAGCTCTGCTCGAGTCTGGAGCTCTGCTCGTGTCTCATCTCTGCTTGTGGCTCGTGCTTTGCTCATGGCTCGTGCTTTGCTCATGCTTTGCTCATGGCTCATGCTCTGCTCGTGTCTGGCACTCTGCTCGAGTCTGGAGCTCTGCTCGTGTCTCATCTCTGCTTGTGGCTCGTGCTTTGCTCATGGCTCGTGCTTTGCTCATGTCTCATGCTCTGCTCGTGTCTGGCACTCTGCTCGAGTCTGGAGCTCTGCTCATGTCTCCGGCTCTGCTCGTGTCTCGCCTCTGCTTGTGGCTCGCGCTTTGCTCAAGTCTCCTGCTCTGCTCGTGTTTCATCTCTGCGCGTGTCTCGTCTCTGCTCATGTCTCACGCTCTGCTCATGGCTCACACTTTGCTCGTGTCTCCTGCTCGTGTCTCCTGCTCGGCTCGTGTCTGGCGCTCGGCTCGTGTCTCGCGCTCGGCTCGTGTCTCGCGCTCGGCTCGTGGCTCTCGCTTTGCTCATATCTCCTGCTCTGCTCGTGTCTCACGCTCTGCTCGTGGCTCTCGCTTTGCTCATATCTCCTGCTCTGCGCGTGTCTCGTCTCTGCTCTTGTCTTGTGCTCTGCTTATGGCTCACGCTTTGCTCGTGTCTCCTGCTCTGCTATTGTCTCGTCTCTGCTCGTGTTGCATGCTCTGCTCGTGTCTTAAGCTCCTGTTCCTGACTCTGCTCCTGGTAGTCTCTTGCATGCTCCCTGCCTACCACCTCCATGACCTCTTCCTGGACACCAACCTTCCTTTCTATCTCCTCCTGTTTCCTCAGTATTGCTCCTTGGTATGGCCGCCCTGAGAGCCACAACATGGTGCCAGATTGCAGCAAGGTACCCCAGAGGCCACTACGGTCTCTAGCCCATCACTCCTTATTGGGCGCTCTGGTGGAGTCCAAGTTGTCACCTAGGAAAAAATGTCACCAGCACACCGAGGATCACCAATATGGGTCCAAAGGTTTTAATAGATGTGTGGGAACGTTTCGGAGTCTCGCAGGACCCCTTCATCAGGCAGGTCACATGCCTGATGAAGGGGTCCTGCGAGACTCCAAAACGTTGCCATGCTGTAACTATGTGATCGTCTATTGAAACCTTTGGACCCGCATTGGTGATCCTCGGTGTGCTGGTGACATTTTTTTCCTTGCTGATTTTGTTTGGTTCCAGCCGACGGTCGCTGCAGCACCCACTTATACACACCGACATTTTTTAATGCAGGAACGTGTGCGTTTGGATTGTACACTTGCAAGTTGTCACCTGATCTCCATGCCTCGGTTCAGCCTGCCTCCCTTGCCCAGGGTGTCACCTGTTTCATTCACCAGACTGACACCCATTGATGGATGCCTTTAGGTATTTGCATAACTGCTCCCAACAGCCAGCCCACTGCTTGCATCAGGACTGGGGGCTCCGGGGAGGGGTACGGAGATGTTTTCAGGGAGCTATGTACAGCAGACCAAAAAGGGATTTGTGAAAAGAGATTCACAGAAAAGCGGCTACATCATGAACAGAATGCGATACTCAGAAAAATTTCCAAAAATTATGCTTTATTTCACATTAATGATTGACAATCGGGCAATCGCCCTGGTTTACCATCACCCCAGTATGAGACAATACACACAGACCTAAAACCATATAAAATCACACCAAGACCGGTCTGGGTATATGTGCTGCAAAGGCTATGACCACCTTAGTCTAAAGCATTTGCAGCACTTGCACATTGGTTACACTCCCTGTAGGGGGGTATATTCAAAAACATTATCCCATAGGTATATAATATCACATGCTGTATATATAAGCATATATTGTTACCATATAGGTTACACCCCATAAAAGGAGATTTTACCAAAAATTATCCCATAGGTATGTCATATCACATGCTGTATATATAAGCACATATCATTACCATATAGGTTACACTCCCTAAAGGAGTTTTTACGGAAAATTATACCATGGGTATGTAATATCACATGCAAGCAAAACAGACAAATGCAGTTACCACCTAGAGAGAGAAGCATAACCCTAAGCCTACATAAGGCAATGTGGGTAAACCATTGAATGAAAAGGGGGGAATAACCCTGTCCTGCCTTCTCTGCAGTTATGAAAGGGTTACAGAGGGTTACAGGCAGTATAACCTTTGATATCCACACAGTAAGGAGTCGATGATTGATAACCGATGATCTTTTACTGATAACATGTGAACATAGTACATGAAGTGTGAATGTGAATACGAATGAATGAATGAATGGTAAAAACTGGAATACAAACAGAATAAACAGACATGAGTACATATCTAACTTCCTAGCTATATGCATAACATTCCACAATACATAGGAGGGGTACTTACAGACTTTGGGGGTCTAATCAAGCCCATATATGAAGAGGGAACAGCATCCCACATCTACTCACATAGTAGAATTTCTTCAGTCTGAAGAGATGAGGTCACTTCCTCCCAAGTTAGCAAACAGGAAGTCCCTGGCCTTTTAAAGGGGGACAGACACTGCTGAATGCTAAAGAATGCCTTAAAAAACAAAAAACATAGGAGTGCGGCGCTAATGAATATATTTCTCAGATGATCTAAAAACACAATATGATGTAAAGCAAAAGATCAGTGCATCAAATAAACTAAATGATAAATAATGTCCAAATAAATGTCCAAATAAAATGAAATAAAATAAACGCAGGATCTTGCATAAAAGATAAAAGAACCAGGATCCAACGGTTAAAAAAATTGCGCACTCACCGGACGCGCTATGGAAAAAGCGCATATGTAGTATGACCTTTAGGAAACCTTCATCATCTGGAGACGGTGGATAGCCATCCAGGAACAAGTGATCTCTGTGTAATGGACAATTTCAAATCCAGGAATCCCTTTAGGAATTGGATGACTAATGAGTGAGGAACTCCCTCCGGTGGTGAAGATGGGTAATTCCTGAAATATGTTAGCTCCAGGTGGGAGCCAAAAAATCTCTCATAGTGTAGTAAGTAAAATGTATTTATTCAAAAATAAGTATCATAAAAGCAAGGCAGAAACACTGTGACAGTAAAACATGAAAAAAACTGAAGTGTAACTGACCAAAAGTAAAATGGCCGCCGGGCCTCCTCGTGGCTCCAGGCGGCTAGATGTCACGCTCTGCTGGCTCCTCCTAAGGCCTTTCGTGCTCCAGCACATCATCAGAGGGGAGGCCTTGTGTAATACAGGGCAGCACAACCCCAATGATATAGTAATGGATTCATGCAGAAAATAGAAACTAGAAACAAGGCATACTACATATATTGCAACAGGCGGAAGACCTACTGGGCCTCATCTTGTTTCAAATATCAAAGTGGTTTGCAGTCCACATGTTGTGGTGAAGAAACCATATAAAGCAGCCTCTGCTATCTGCATCCATCTCTCCATCAAGACACCAACAGGGACCCTTTCATCTATAAGAATCCTTCTAACCATTCACGTATATTACAGATAAATGGGCCCCAACCACATGTACCTGTATAGGGTTGTACTGCATGAATCCATCATCATATCATTGGGGTTATTCCCCCCTTTTCATTCAATGTGTTACCCACATTGCCTTATGTAGGCTTAGGGTTATGCCTCTCTCCAGGTGGTAACTGCATTTGTCTTCTTTTTTGCTTGCATGTGATATTACATACCCATGGTATAATTTTTGGTAAAATCTCCTTCAGGGGAGTGTAACCTATATGGTAACAATATGTGCTTTTATATATAGCATGTGATATTACATACCTATGGGATAATGTTTTGAATATACCTCCTACGGGGAGTGTAACCAATGTACAGGTGCTGCAAATGCTTTAGACTCTGGTGGTCACAGCCTTTGCAGCACATATATATCCAGACCGGTCTTGGTGTGATTTTAATGGTTTTAGGTCTGTGTGTATTGTCTCATACTGAGGTGATGGTAAACCAGGGCGATTGCCCAAATGTCAATCATTAATGTGTAATAAAGCATCATTTTTGGAAATTTTTCTGAGTATCGCATTCTGCCTCTTTTCACAATGTAGCCCGCTTTTCTGTGAATCTCTTTTCACAAATCCCTTTTTGGTCTGCATGTTTTTTGGCTACTGGATGGAAGCCATATATTGGGTGATACAGCAATTTATATTTGAACCTCTAAATTTATCTTTTTACTAGCTATGTACAGCATCCTGCTGTCCCCTCCCACTAGCCATGATCTGCCTGCATTGCATTGAGAAGCACATAGACTCGGTGATGACATCTCTTCATTTACATTGCATAGTTTTAGCTGGTTGCTGTGACTGCCACACAAAGCCAAGGTGTCCGATCCCACGCACCGATCCTACACCGATCCCAAGCACCGATCCCACGCACCGATCCCA